TGATGTATGTATGTAATGTTATGTACGTATGTATGTATGTATGTAATGTAATGTATGTTAGTATAGTATGTATGTTATGTATGTAATGTATGTATGTATGTTGGTATGTTATGTACTGTACTGTAATGCTATGTGATGTATGTAATATGTATGTATTGTATGTATGTATGTAGTAATGTATGTATGTAATGTATGTTATGTATGTATGTATAGTATGTATGATAAATGTATGTATGTATGTATGGTATGTATGATTATGTATGTATGTAAGTATGATAATGTATGTATGTATGGCCATCGTATGTATGCAATGTTGCAATGTATGTGTAGCATGTATGTGGTGGGTATGTGTGTGGTCGTCGTGTGTAGTGTGCGGTGTGTGTGCTGTGTGCTGTGGTCGTGTGTGTGTGTGTGTGTGGTGTTGGTGGTATGTAAGTGTGCAATTTGTCTTACTCTAATCAGTTACTAGTGACCACCCACCATTGCCCTGTCCTGCTTCTCAAACTGTTTCCTGCATGCACCCTTTAGCAGATAATCATATATTATTGCTGCCTATAGCCGGACGAATGCGCGCATATCAGTGAATCAGGCATAGAAAAGTCGACGCAAGCGATTGTGTAATTTCCCGCAACAAGGCCAAGACTACGATGTGTTTCGACTAACCGTACACTAACATGACTAATGGTAGCATATCGAGTTGTCCCAAAAATATAATTTCCCCAAAATAGGCTGATGTCTATTGAATTCTAGTAACGAAAGATTTCGTGCTCGACAAGCCTGCCGTACTTTTTCAATAATGAATATTACTGTCAAAGCAGATCATAATCAAGCGAAAAATTCAAGTGAGTCATCAATTTTTATCGCAGTTTGTTTCCTTATCCTCGGATCACTCACGTTTGATCTTAGTCATTAATGTTATCTAGTTTTGGGTACGTATACGTATACGTATTATATAATATATATAGTAATATAGTATATTATATATAATGTGTGGTGTGTGTGTGTGTGTGTGTGTTGTGCTGGTGTGTGTGTGTGTGTGTGTTAGTGTGTGTGTGTGTGTGGTGTGTTGTGTGTGTGATGTGTGGTTGTGTGTGTGTAGAGTGTGTGTTGTGTGTGGTGTGTTGTGTGGTGTGTGTGTGTTTACGCCGGGCTGATGGCATTGCTTGCACGGACGAGCTGTCAATGTCAGCAAACAGCATTTATGAAGTCCATTCCTGCTCCATACTTGTCTTGGCATTCCGACGTTCCTTACGGACACTGCAAGCGCCATCCGCTACGAAATGTGTTGGCGTTCGCGGTTGGGCAATCAGCTACTGGCTAACTATGTGGCGCTGACCACTGGATCTCTACTAAAGCTAACTAATTGATAAGTAGTTATATAGTAGAGATGCAGTGGGGGCTAACTGACTTGGGCCCACGTGCTGCTGCATCTGGTCGCGGTAGGCTCCCAGTGGCGGCCCATCCTCGCGACAACGAACCTGTGATCAACATTACCGGATTACGAATTTGTCGAATTTTAAACAGAAATCTATATCATATGGCCGCCTGGCGTTTCGTCTAGCGGCTCGCAAGGGAAGCCTTACGCTAACGCGGGTTGGTGCGGGCGTAATATTATATATGATATAATATATAATAGTATAATATAATATATATATATATATTATATGATATATATATATATATATGATATTAGACATATGGCGGCATCGTTGTTTGGCACAGTTGAAAGGAAGTAATATTAAAATTTCCCTGGCCGAATGAGCGAACGAGATGATTTTCACGCATGCGCTCCGTTATCACCCGATTTCAAACATTTAATATAATTTCTCTAACGTCATTTCTCGCCCGCGATGAGGCGTCCTGCCCCACCTCGAAACGCCAGTCGGGATTGCCGTGCAACGTTTTAATACCAGGCTGATGCTACGGACAAACGGCGGTTTCAGCTCGATCTTGTATCATAGTTTTAAAATCATGACGCGAGAATTAAAAAAAAAGAAAACTATGAATAGAACATCGGAAGCGCCAAAGAATAACTGTCACATATAGGGTGACAGAAGTGACGACGACATCCCATGACCTTAATCAGTGGTGGCCTCCGTCCGCATAGCGATCTGAAAGTCTCGAAATGTAACATATCCAAGATATGCTTCTTGCTAAGGCACATAAGCAAGTATAAGGGCGACGTTTTTTGATTTTCGGTTGTCCATGGCCTATGCTTCCTACAGCGTCCTCTGATCGCCATGCCGAGATTTTTCGCTCACCCTTTACACAACACACACACACAACAGCCGACACACACAGTTTGCACAACACCTACACCACAACCACACACGAGCACAGCGACACACCACACACACAACACACACACACATCGACCGCACAACACACACACATTCACACCAAACGCACACACACAACACACACATATACACATTCTACTTACAGCGACACCTCTCTCTCTCTCATCCTCTCTCTCCTCTGGTAGTGTCGTGAGATCTCTCTCCTCGTCTCTCTCTCTCTTCTTTCCTCTACTCAGATCTGCTTTCTATCTCTCCTCTCTACTCATCCTCTCTCTCCTTCTCTCTCGTCTTCAATCTTCTCCGCGCACGCCTTCTCATCTCTCGCTCTCTCTCCCTCTTTCTCTCTCTATGGGTCGCTCTCTCTGTCGTCTCTCTCCTCTCTCCTCGTCTCTTGTTCATACTCGGTCGTCTCCATTCTCTCTGTGGTGATGTGTGTGTGCTGGTGTGCTCTCTCTTCTTGCGCGCTCTCTCTCCCTCGCTCCGTTCTTTCCCTGCCCTTATCTTGCACCCTCCTCCACAATCACCCACTTCTGCCTTCCGCTCACTTTCTTCTCGTCTCCACATCTCTCTCATCTCGTCTGCTCTCTCACTGGAGTTGAGGCCGTCTTCTTTTCCCAGACTACCCCTAAATGTCCTGCTTGTTGTGCGGCGTGAACGTGGCGTGCGTGGCAATATGTTTATCCTCTTAGTTTGCTCTGCTGAATTCTACAGTTGTGCACAGGCCGCGGCTCTGACGACGCTCCTCACGAAATACAGAAAAGTGTCCTTGTGGTGGTTTTCGTTGTTATTCATAACTACGCGTTTTCCTCTATATGCAGACTGTCGGCGATACGTTAAAAATCCTACGAGAAGATAAGGGCAGATGCGCGCGAGCTAAGGAGCGCGGGATGAAAGAGTAGAGGGGTTAGCTTCGTATGAGAATGAAGAGGAAAGAAGGAAAGGGCGTTAGGTCAAAGGGAAGGACGAAAGTAAGTGGAGAGCACGAGACACGGCGACGTGACAAAATAAAGGAAGGGGTACAGAGAGACAGAATCTGAAGACAGAATGGATGGTGAGAGAAGAGAGGGTGGTGTGTGTGTGTGTGGTGTGTGTGGTGTGTTGTGTCGTGTGTGTGTGTTGTGATGGTGTGTGTGTGTGTGTGTGGTGTGGTTGCATGTGCGTGTGTGGAGGCACGTTGTTGTGCGTGATGTGGGTGTGTGTGTGTGTGTGTGTGTGTAATGGTATGTGGTGTGCGTGATGTGGTGTGTGTGTATGTGTGTGTGTGCGTAGTGTGTGTACTGTGTAGTGGTACGAGTGAGGAAGAGAGAGAAGAGAGAATGAGGAGAGAGAGAGAGAAAGAGAGAGAGAAGAGAGAAAGGGAGAAGAGAGAGAGAGAGAGAGGAGAGAGAGAGAGAGAAGATGAGAGAGAGAAGAGTAAAGAGAAGTAGGGTGTGTGGTCCGGCGCGTACGGTGATGGAGGGAGAGGGTGAAAGCATACGCACTGAGTGTTATAGTTTCACGGAAGCAGTATTCGCTGGCGATGTAGGCAATGCTGTACGTATGGCGTCTACCGACGAGCCTGCCGTTAAATGGCTCATTTTTCACTCTTTCGTATAGATTTGTCACTGGCTAATCGAAAAACCTTAACGTAAACTCACCCACAGCGATCTCTGATGAGTTGCGGAGAATTATTGCAGGGAACGGCAAGTATTATTGGATTTGTAGAGGGAAAATTAACTTTCGCCATGCAGCCTGGTCACCAGGGTGTGATTTCGGCTGATTGTACGATCGCCAGACATGTGCCTCATTTCCTTGCCGAATATCAGGATATTGGCACGCAGTCCCACAGGCTATACATGCTCGCATGATGAGTGTCGCTCTAGCAGAATGCGCCATGTACTGTCCGAAAAGCGTGTAAAGCTGCGAACCGCACGTAATAGCATTTCCGCAACGTTTTTTCGTTTAGAATAAGTTACAGACGTGTGCAGATCATTAAAGACGAAGGCAAGAATGCAGCACGTAGCTGTCAAAAGCTAGCCGGTAATCTTTCGCAGGAGCGAACGAGGACATACGTTCACAAAACTGTTTTCGTGCGATGGTTGACAAAACCGGATTTAGAGTTTTCTCCTTTATTATTCGCTATGATGATTTTCAATGAGTTTCGTCAAGAGTAGATAATAACACATGTGTTATTATCTACTCTTGGTTTCGTTTGTACTCTGATCATTTTAAGCGGTCGTTATCCAGCATATTATGCTACCACTGATTTCAGAGACTATTCGTTTATTTCATTTACTTATATAAACCCTATAAACATGATTAAATTTTCCGTTTGAATCGTTTGAGATACTGAATTTTATATAACCAGATCTAGATGCTTATGATATCTGTGGCGTGAGTTGTGGTATGTCAACGAGATTAATACAACCAGCGCCACCTCTTGGACACTTTATAGCAAACACGTGTAATCATAGACTAAGAATAAACAAACAAGCTAGGAAGAACAGAGTCGCTATCAAAAGCAGAGGAATGTATAGGGGCGTGGAATAGATAGCGGAGAATGTTGAGGCGATTGCGAGATGGCAATCAGGGATGTAGAGAGGAACTAGAAAGAGTAGAAGAGGCAGAGAGCTGAACAGGAAGGACATGGCAGGTTTGACTATAGATGAAGATGGAGAGTGGTAACTCATCTTCTAACCAGTGAAACTCGGAAAACAAAAATGATTTAGACGTATACTCGCAAAATATTATTTATTTAATGGTTTCATTTGTTGATATGTCATTAACTAATCTACTGAAGCTCTTACAGTACCGTGACACTCAAACACATATGATGCTTCGATAACAGATCATAATATTGATAATACTAATTCTTTGGTCAGCTGATCACGTGTGATAAAATCATGATGCCTTCATCACAGATGCACGAATAGGCAAGATTAACACAATCTCAACGATTGATATTAAACATTGACTTCGTCTTTCGCTTATTTATTTTTTAGTTTTGTCAGCCTATCTCTCTCATACGTCGCAGTGAGTGGTTCAGTCTCGAATAGCATCTTGCATAACAGCATCATTGGGACGACAAAGTATGGGGCGTAGATACCGAATAAAATCAGTTTTTCTGTCAGTGTCTCTGGTCCTGCAATGGCCCCCGCTCCTGCCACTTGGCTTCTTGTGAAGTCATTAAAAAACAAGTGAGCGAAAATGGGCACCAACGTCGTCGCAACGTGTGAAGAATAGATTATTGCAGGAATGCGTATCCATCTATTCTTGCTGTAGCCTGGAACAACAAGCGGAGAAAAAAAAGTATGCAACTTAAATAAGAACTGATAGCAAATTAATAAATAAAAATCGCATTAAATTTTAAAATTTCACCAATTACATTTGATATTCTAGAACACTACAAGTAGCTTTGTAAGAGACCTGTAGATTTTATCCATAGTAAGCATTCTGGAAATCTAACAACTTTATCAGATGGTCACCATGAAACTCACCCTTCCAGAATGCATAGAGAGCGAAGAAGAAAAAGGGCAGCTGAAATGCGAGCTCGCATCCAATCAAAGACAAGAACCACGATGGCCGCTCAATAATTGCAGGGTCCTTTAGCTCCCGGCTGTACCAGTTCACCACATCCAACAACTGCGAAAGAAAGAGAAATCACCGATCAAAATTCATCATGTGAAAGCTTAAAGTATATTATTCACCCTACCTTCATCCTAAGAATGAAATGAGAATACTTCAGGAATAAGCTTTAGCTTTGACGGTACATCAGACCCAAAATGTGTTTAAGAGCTGGGAAGAACCCTGAGTTCTGAGCAAGTCAACAAGTCCAGAATGCACAAGTCCAGCAGCACACTCCAGCTTTGTTCACATAATGTCCATCATGGAAGAGAGGGTCCCCCTTCTGGGCAAGCGCTTGACCGTCGGCTCTTTATAAAAAGTCAATTTTTTTTCAGATGAAGCCTATTATATTTTTTATTTTGTGATGACACCCCTTCAGTTGTTAACATGAGTGACTTTTCGGCATGATTGGAACATGGCAAAATAGACGTGGAGGCAAGAAAACTCCCCGTCGCTCGTAGGACATTCTGTATCTTGCTGCTGATCTTCTCTCTTGTATGCTCTTACATCATTAGCTGCTCTCTTGAGTTTACCCATCTGCATCGAGATATATACTGTGTACCATCTACTTAAATTCTGTTGAGAAATACCACGACTCTCAGCATTGAACCACCTGCTGGTGAAATATACACTAACAGGTAGCAGCTTTTCTGGTTTTATCATTGTTTTCTAGAGGCCAAGCATATGCCTACCTAATTATAATTGGTTAACGAAATTGCCTTTGAATTCCAGTGTCAAGCCAGTAAATCCAGTATACCTTACAGTCTGTTGTCTATTTGTTTGGACAGGTAATTAAGCTCGGGTAAAATTCTCAAAATTCCAAAAAAATAGCCAACTTCCAAAGATAAGGCCTACATAATATCACAACCTTTTAAAACTTGGCAATAAAGGCTTATGTAGTATATACTAGTTATTCTATCTATATGGCTACAACCTTAACTATATACACAGTCACAGTGGGCACCAGCACATGCACCCACTCTGCATATACATTTTCTCACCGTCTCTGGAAACAGCCGGTTTGGCAGAAGTATTTGTGAATCAATAAGGATGGTCACAGGAATGTGAGATGCGAAATATAGCACAAATATAAAGTCTAGCACGCCATCCATCTTGCAGGCCAAAGTTGCGGTTACCACTGTCCACTCTCCACAGCAGTCTGTAAGTCATGCAGAGGATACCTGAGAATAAAATCGAGATAATACATCATACATATAAGTAAAGGGAAAATTGCTTCCACAGAATTAACATATTTTGTTAGGGTTACCATAATATTATATGCAGTTCTCAATGGACATTGGTTTTTCATCCATACACAATATAATTTCCATACAGGTCTGCAATCTGTTTAGAAACGCAATTCTGTTTAGAAATAATTAGGTATCTCTCATGGAGAAGCTGGGCTGTTGCCGATTGTGTTTATTCTTACCAGCGCCTCACCATCTCATGCGCACTTTTGTGATCAAGGGTCAATTCTAGGTGTACTTGTGTGTTGCAGATGAGCATTTGACCGGCATTTACAGGTGATTATAGGCGAAATAGAGTAGAGAAACACAGACTTTAATTGGTAGTAAATACATTTCGTGTTTATTTACCATTATTTTTATTTATTGAGACGTTCCAAGTGCCTGTGGTGCGTGCGGCAGACAGCGTGTTGCAGATAAGCATTTGGACGGCATTTACAGGAAATTGTCCGCAATAATATGTGATCATATGTGATAATATTAATAACTTATTAATAAGTGAAAAAGAGTAGAGAAACATTTGGTAGTAACTTTGGTTGTAACTAGATTTCGTATTTATTTAGCAGTATATTTTATTGAAACGCTCCACGTGCCTGTGGCAAGATACAGCTAATCAGCTACAGCTAACACTAACAGCTAATTAGCCTACAGCTAATCAGAATAACTACTAACCTAACAACATAAACCTACTCACCTTTATAAAAACTTCTTACCAAATCGTTTCCGATTGGGGCCCTAATAAGCTTCCCAAACAATGTGCGCATGTGCAAAGCGCATGACCAATCATGGACCAATGCTTAGGTAATCGTAAATATTTAAAAATGGCCGACTCCGAAGTGTCAGCAGCTGCGAAAATTAATATGAAACATGGATTCATGAAAAGCATTATAAAAAACCAAATTGATAGGTATGAGAATAAATTATGAATAGTCTACTAAGTAGTGGTAGTCATATATAAGACGTTACCCGTTTTCTAATTGAGCGTTGCACTTGCAGAGACAATTATGACCGAGAGATGAAGCAAAAGGGTCAAAAGCAAGTTGACAAAGTGTCGCCTAGCAACTTAAACAAGTCCGTCAAGTCGGAAAAAACGCGTAAACCAGCGATGCCAGTATACTCTCCTCCATGCCGAGCAAACAAAGATGGTGCGTCTATGTGCTGTCGTGGCATAAGTTGTACATAAATATCATAATTACAAATTATGTCAAATCACAGGCTCTTGGGGGAGTTGGAGGCTCAAGTTTCAAGAACTTGAGTACAAGACTAAGTATGGGCGCGTTTGTTTGGTCGGATGCACGGATCTCGATCCGATGGATTCGTTGATCTGACTGTTTGTTTGGTCGGATCACTTAATCTCGATCCACCGAACCCGACCCTGCTAGTGCTAGCGAGGCGGATTCGAACGGGATCCAATAATCGCAATATGGCGGCCCGCGCCTCAGCCAATCACAGCTTGTTCTTTGTTATGAACCATCCTGTGATAGGTCACAGCGAAACGTGAATTGGTGAAAGTGAGTTTTGCGTTTGTTTGGTCGGATCAGGATCATATGATCTCGATCAGACGGATTCGTCCCAAACAAACGCGCCCTATATTAAGAGCGAAGCGCTTCGCTCTTATTCTTAATATAGTCTTGTACTCTTCTTGAAACTTGAGCCTCCAAGGGCTTGTGGTCAAATATATACTCTGCCTCATCTCACGCTTGGTCAGTTGCACTGTTGCAGGCACAGCCACGGCACAGGCACTTGGAACATCTCAATATTATTTTTTTAAAAGGTAAATAAACACGAAATGTATTTACTACCAAAGTCTTAATGTTTCTCTACTCTATTTCGTCTATTATTGCCGCTAATTACCCGTAAATGCCGGTTAAATGCTCATCTGCAACACACAAGTATACCGCACGCACGCCTTGCGCACAAACAACATGAATAAGACTCAGTAAAAGAGAGCAGGTAGGAAAGCGTGATCGCAAAATTTGCTTGACGCTAGCTTCATTTCAGACCTTCACAGCCCAAATACACCAACAACAGCTTCCATCTTGGTATCTATGTGTAGCTAAATGTTCACTTGTTCGAATTATAACTCTGTCCTTTGTTCTTACCTACTCCCGCCAGTGATATCTCGTGAAATCCTGCAGGAAATGTTCTCTCCGTGAAAATGTAAAGAGGACGTAGCATCCGAAAATCCCTAACGGCGCTAAAGAGGACGAGATGTCTGTTTATACACGAGTAATGGCAGCGCATTGCATGCCGGGATGAGCTGCTGCCTGCCTCCGAGCTCCGTTTCGAGGCCCGCCAAGCCAAGCATAATGCGCGCGGGCATGACGTCACACACACGACTACAGTGATTGACTGATTGGTCAAAATATCGAGTAGCGCCGTTAGGGATTTTCGGATGCTACGTCCTCTACATTTTCACGGAGAGAACATTTCCTGCAGGATTTCACGAGATATCTCTGGCGGGAGTAGGTAAGAACAAAGGACAAAGTTATAATTCGAACAAGATACCAAGATGGAAGCTGTTGTTGGTGTATTTGGGCTGTGAAGGTCTGAAATGAAGCGTGCGTCGAGCGAATTTTGCGATCACGCTTTCCTACCTGCTCTCTTATTCATGTTAGTGCACAGGGTGTGCGTGCGGTGTACTTGTGTGTTGCAGATGAGCATTTGACCTGCATTTACGGGTAATTAGCGGCAATAATAGGCGAAATAGAGTAGAGAAACATTAAGACTTTGGTAGTAAATACATTTCATGTTTATTTACCTTTTTTTTTTTTTATTGAGACGTTTCAAGTGCCTGTGGTCGCAGGCACTGTCGGCGTCGCTGTCGTTGACAGTGACAGCGGAAGGTTTATTGGAGTTCTTGATATGATACACCGACAGTAACCAATTCTGGCGTGGCGTCGGCAGTTTTATTATTTTGAAGTGGTTGTCTTATTGATGAGTACTGCTGTGGTCGTGTGTGTGCGTGCGTGCATGCATTCGTGCATGTGTGTGGAAAATTTAAATATGTTCTCTTTTATAGAAAAAGCGATACTGTTCAAGTTGGAGTATGAGGATGAGAATGGAGATGTACACGAGACTGTTGTTCATGAGGTGAGGCCATGTTGCATTGCCCTGTTACTGTTAGTGGTTGTGATAGTAATGGTAGCAAGCGGGAAAGGAAACGTACTGTCCATCGAATTTAAATCGCATGCATCTTACATCAAAGTGTCTAGCTAGTAGTAGTAGCTAGCTCTAGTTGATATGTCTGACATTGCGTTATGGCCATGCTATGGTATCAGGAGTCTATCAATCTATTGATAGACTCCTGATGGTATGTTAGGTATTGGTCCCATCTAATAGTAATATTAAAGTTATAAACAGGAGGGAAATAGATACATTTTTTGCATTTTAGCATGCATATTTTAGGTTTCTTCTGAGGGAAAATTAGACAAAGAAGGTAATGGCCAGTTTGGGAAAAAAATGTGCATGATGGATTCATATACAGGATGTATTGATATACTTATGGGTACATAGGTACAGGATATACTTACAGTTACAGGGTGCGAAATTAACGGGAGTCCGGAGTCAAATACTTCCTTATTTACTGTCGGACTCCCTGATTTGACATATGCAGGAGTCCGTGTGACTCCCTGAAAATTCTGCCATTCTAACTAGTTCTTTCCAGAGCACGGCCTCGCGGAATTACCGTATTTTTTCAGTAAAAGTCCAATGAAAATTTGGCAGACGTGCAACTGCATGAATCTTAAAAATAAGCACGTGTTATTGTTAATATCTTTAACAATGGCCTCCCTCATGACTGCGGACTCCCTCTTTTTGAGGGTAGGGAGTCCGTTGGACTCCCGTGTTCAAAAGTTAATTTCTACCTCTGTACTTATCAGTAAATACAGGAACATTTTCACAACGGCGATGTTAAATTTGACAACGGCGGTGCACCACTGCGCCTCTTATGTACATAAGAAACCCTGCTGTTATTGTGGTGTACTTGTTACTCCTAGGATGATGATGCTCGCATTGTCGCTCGAAAGTTTGGTGTCGGCTGCAAAATTCCAGAGAATCTATTGCACGCGCTCTACGTGCGAGTGGCGGATGAAATTGATAAACGGCGACAAACGTAAGTGCTACTTGGCTATGAATACCAGTAGTTAGTTTTTCTACAGTCGACTTATCCACTTGCGAGACAACCACACACCACTTCAATATTGTTGGTAGCTCAGTTAAACTAGACCAGTTTATTTGTGATTTTCACACATACATGCCAAATTGTCATCTTTGTGGCACTTTTTGAGAACGTCCATTGCAATGCCCCTCCAGGCAGATGGGTCAGTTACTCATTTTTGAGGCAAGTTTAAACGCTTGCTGCATTGTTGACATGAACTGTATGTAGAAACGGTGAACGAATGATGACAAATGATAAACTGTCTCTCTCTTTCTCTAGTAAATAGGTTTCGCGTGCAGTAATTTCGACCCCTTGAGGTGAAAACTTCCGCTAAAGGATAGAGAAGCTGGGCGCCACGTAAGACGTGGCTTCGCGTTAACGAGGGCTTCCTGCACAACCTCAAGATGTAGCGTGTGCGTGGTCACACCGGCTACCCAGCATCCATGGTCGACCATCCCGGCAAACGCCGCTGAAGACCTCACAAGGATGCGACGACGAGGAACGCAGGATGGCGGGGGGACTGGAGCTTACAAAGAAGAGATCGATGAAAACTCTGGAGTTCCTTACAGTGACTACTACTGCGCCATCAGAATGCGAAGCGTCGTATGATACACATATGCATGTGGCCGAATAGCTTGGGTCTATAGACGGAGAAGCTGTCAATCATGTGACATCATGATACGTCAGAGATGTGGGCAGTGTGAAACAGTTGCGTGACGACGATGATCGTAGTTGAGTACGAAAATAAAATGGAATACATTGAAATATGCAATAAATATTTTATTTTTGCATTACGCACTGAAATAAATACATACATAGCAAAGTAGCATAAGTTCCATTTGCTCGTTTCCATATCTGTACCTCTATAATGCTACATGAAAGAAAAATTTGCCAAGTATACTTGAACTGGGTCTTGCAATCGAGTGAACTCAATAAATATCAAAAAAGCCATCTAATAACATAAAAGAATCTTTCTCTTTTATACCCGAGATTGCAAGTTGTAAGTATTTTCAAATTAAACATGGGACAGCACTACAAAGTAAAACCTATGCCAATTTGAATTTAAGTGCAATTTTTATGCAATGTGTGGGTGACACAATTCTATTAGTTTGAATCAATTTGACAGAACACAGAAACATGAAAATTGCTTAACAACCAGACAACAGCTGCGCACTTTATATTCACAGATTCCTCCTATCACAACTTCGATGGTGCAGGTTAGTGCCTCGCTTTGCAAAATATACATTTTAATAAACACATTTTTGTTATAACAAAAAGCTTGAACTAAACTACGCTACTGAAATGCGAGCGGTGACATCACGAAGCGCGCAGGCTAACAGACGCTACAGCAAACGATAACGGACCGGTCGTTCATAACTTCATACACCCCTCCCCTTCCCACGACCAGTTACTTCTAGTCACTCTCCCCCTTGATAGATGGCAGCACAAACGCTCCAATTTCCCCCCATAGTAAACTCGATAAAGTGGGAGCTGCTAAGGTTTTACCTCTCACAAAAACCGACGACGACTTTCACACAAACACAAACAAACAATTCTTCCGGTGGGTCAACACTTTCGCGGCACCGACACTCATACGGCGGCAATTGCCAGCGGTTGCCTCATCGTAGAAAAATTTCGGTCAACTCGGAAAGAAACATAAAAAAGACCTTTCTGGGTAAACCCTCCACACGATTGCCGGGGGAAAAAGTGCAATTAAATCTGAGGATTAAGCTTTTGTAAACTCGCTCAAACCTCTGAGATCCTAATCACCGCTCGAGTAAAAACCGTCACCCCAGATTCCGCACCATCCATCCAGAAACACAACACGATTCCCAAGGACGGTGCGGGTCTCACGCGAATCGCCGATTCGCTCCCTTCCTTAAGTCGCCGAGACAAACGCTCCGCTTGCCGAATGCAGATAACTCGAGTCACGGGGGTATTGCGTCGCAGTACAGCGGTCAAGGTCGTAAGGTCACCACCAGGTGTAGCCACTCAGACAATGGTCTACTCGCGAGCCCATCGCTGTCCGCAGAGTGTGAGTGCATTGCAAAAGTTCATGATTGGAGTGAAGGTTGACAACCCATCGTGTAAAAACTGGCTTAGTAGTAACTAACTGTGTATAGTTCCCCCCCCCCTATTGCGACATACAGCGGATGTGTTTGAGGTCGCGGCAAACGCTCCTCCCACTCAAGCAGAGGCTCCGGTCGGCACGGACGCGTCAAGGGTTTCATATCACTGCCGAGTTGTTTCTTCCAGATCTGTAGGCAAGAAAGATTCATGCATGGACCAGGGTAAAAAATACACGGGAGCGATGAGCGATTCGCTCTTCAAACCTCCGAAATCGCTCCCGTGAGGCTCAAAATAGCTCCCGTAAAATTTTTGACGAGAGCTATATTCCCCACAGACTTGAAAAAGAGCTCCTGTGAAAAAAAAGAAATTTTTCCCCTGGCATGGACACTAGCATTCCGACCAAATCTATTATATACATAACCAATTTCACAATTATTATCACTAAAAGATTGCGAAAAAATGTTTTAAACTCCTGGCAAGCAGCAGTAAGAACCATACAAGAATGTACTCATTCTGCTGTGTGAAGTAAGTTGTGATCCTGTTGTAATACCTCTCGGTCTTATTTGGTTGAGAGCTGGCGCTAACTTCCCGCTGAGGCGATCCAGACTTCTGTGCCTTCTTCCCACTAGCAGCCTCCTTCTCATTTCCTTCCTGTTCGGTGTCAGCTGGTCCCGCTAGAAAGCGGCAAGAATAATTCACCTACATAATTTATTAACAAATCGATGTTTCACACGCAAAAAGGCACGCTATAAGCTATAAGCTATAAGCTATCGGGAGTCGTCTGCTTTGGTTAGCCTTCTGTAGTAAAGTCATTCACTCACGCCTCCCCATCCAAAATTATCCTAGAACTTGTACCGACGTAAAAAAAAAAAATATCGGCGAGGCTCGAATGAGTTCTGTGTGGATGCATACATGCGGTAGCTACGACTGATGCGGCAGCAGAGGCCGGTGGCTTCGAGGAAGCCGGCTCTGTCGGCTTCATCTGTACAGGGTGGTGGGCCTTCACGGTGCCGGCTGTCGACGTAAGAATCTTGCTCGAGACGGCCGCCGAACCGTGCGACATCCTGTTACCTGAGTTACGAGCCGGTGAGGCCGGCTCACTCTTTATGTGATCTTCAACAAGTTGGCTGAAGAGCAAGATTGAGCGGTGTCAGTCTAAACTGCGCTTTGCGTCGGAACGTGTTGTGCCACGTCAGGCAGACGCCCGTGTCGGTTGTTGACAAAAACGCACAAATAACAATTGCAAACGAACGAGTTTGAAATAAAAAGTCGAGTTGTAAAACATGAAATTGTACATTTATCTTAATAGAATATTACTTCCAAATTACTCTTTATAGTAATTCTGTGGCAACAATTGTTATATGGGAGAGGGGCGTTCCAATTCATACCCATCTTGATAAACACCTACAGGGCATTGTTGCCATTACTAAAAGACACATTTCTTTATTCACAAATGAGCAAAGCGTGAGAGGATTCAGTACGGTGCTTACCTCATGCGAGCTACGAGCGTCGCGGTGCTTGGGGCAGCGCCCTCCACACTCGAATCAGCGCTGTGAATGGGCATCTGCTCTAGGCTCTCGTCCAATAGCGACTCCGTGTCTGAAAAGCCGGAACAACGCCGAATCACATCTCACGCTCAGAGAAAGCGACACTCGTTGGGGTGGAGCGTAAGAGCGGTGGAGGGAATGCAGGTAACCGACACAAGTTGTCCTCTCGTGGAGAAAATACTGTATACGCTGTATATTTCGCAGTGGTTTAATTTACGCGAATGCGTCCCCAACCACGAAAATAACAACACGCAAATAATTCATACCGATTAATACCGAATAATTCATAATTTACCGACTGCGAAATTAACCACTCGCGGAATTGTCCGTCAAGTCTGAATTCGCGAAAATATCTGTACGCGAAAAATACGGCGTATACAGTACGGGTGCCAATTTCACGGTCAACGACAAAGAGGCTGCAAATCTGCTGCCAGCATGTGTTTGCCTCGACATTATACTCACCCAGCATACAGGGAAGGCTTCCTCTTCGCTCGTGGGGGAAGCCGCCGGGGAAGCCGTCACCGAGGGTTCGCAGGCGCACCGTGTTGCTCGTGGCCGTGCCGCTCGCTCGCATCTCAGCACCTACAATAGAACGCTGGGCGAGTGAGTGACAAGTCACTGCGGTCGAGAAGGGACCAGTAAGCCCCACACTAAGCGTCAGCTGTGGAATGCTCTCGCAAGAATATACTTAACAAACTCAAACTCAAACTCGATATGATTTTATGGTACATGATGAGGCAAATACAGACAAGGGACATACATGTATGCTGGTAGTAAGGTCTCCGACTTATTCCGGTACTTTACTTACATTAATACGTTGTTATTGTTACAAATTACGTTTGTTTTAATACATTTGCAGAAGGCTCACAAAACTGCAGTTGGCATCTGGTACGCATGCATGCGTGCGTGCACAGCGTTGCATCGTAATAACAAAATAGAAATTCTGTTGTCCGAAATGTAAATTAAACATAAAAAATTGTAAGCATCCATTAGTGTGTACACGCGAGTGTGCGTGCGTGTGCGCGTGTATAAGTGGTGTGTGTAAACAGGCACCAGGTTGATGCTGGGGGACTACCTACATTCCTGCCTGCTGGACTTGCTGCCCCGTGACGGTGAAGACGAACCCACGGCTGCAGCTGTCGTCGGGATGTTCACGTCAGACAGTCGGAAAAACGACTTCGTCGTCCTCTGATCTGGAGGATCGACAGAACAACAACACAATATTAGCACCGACAACAACAAGCATAACGCACGCATGATTGAACTACGCAGCGAGTACCTATAGAAGTATTACATTAGTTAATCGAACGTGGCGAAGGTCGTACCTTAGTCGCAACAACCGGAACAAATGTAGGCGAAAAATAGATGTCAGAGAATTAATTGGTCTCTCCCTATCTTCGTCTATGATTCTACGGCCTTCTGCAGCAGAGGCTCTCTAATGTTCGACAATGTACATCGTCACGCGACAACTACAGTAACCATGGTGATAACATGACGATGTGATCACCTGGGCACTGCGAATGACTGTGAGGGCTTCGCGTCGTGGGATGGGGGGGGGCAACATCTGATGGGGGGCAGCATCTCATGGGGGCAGCATCTGATGAGAGGGGGCAGCATCTGATGGGAGAGCGTCTGATGGGGGGGGGCAACATCTGATGGGGGGGGGCAGCATCTGATGGGAGAGCATCTGATGGGGGGAGGCAGCATCTGATGGGGGAGCAGCATCTGATGGGGGGGCAGCATCTGATGGGGAGGCAGCATCTGATAGGGGGGCCGTCTCCACACTTACTGAGCGGCTGCGGCCGGCTCTGTAGATCCCACATCGTCTGCGCAGCCTCCTCCGCCTGCCTGTCCTGCATGTCGAGCAGCTGCAGCAGCACCGTCTCGTCGTCTGCCAGCGTTGGCTTCGCGCATCCGCCTCCGCCGCCGCCGCCGCCGGGCGACTTAGTCGCCTCGCAGGGCTGTGCGAGCGCGTCTCCGCTACCCTGCTGCCAGGAGGCGCTGCGTTCAACGTCGTTGTCGCCGGACCTGGTACGCACGCAACGACGACAAATATTGTTAAGTAACGATCTGGTTTGTATCGATATTATCCGATTGATTGATGGAATAAATTATTTATCACCTAATAATAATAATAACTAAAAATATCAGTGTGCTTGCCAGTTATGTGCATTCTATCTGCTTCTGATCTATCTTCGCGTGTCACACACACGCACGCACGCGCTCACGCACACACGCACACACACACACACACACACACACACACGCTTACGCACGCTCGCGCGCGCGCGCACACACGCACGCGCACGCGCGCGCGCACACACACACACACACACACACATCACCGAATGCACGTGGGTGCATGCATGCACGCACGCACGTACGCACACACACGCATGCATCATACATGGTTTCCTCGTCGACGTCGTTCTCATCGTTCGACTGCTCCATCAGGTCCTCCTCCAACAGCTCCTGCTCCAGCTCCCCCTCACTCAGCTCCTCCTGTAGCACGACAAACAACAGGATCACTCACGTACCTCCTCCTCCTCCTCCACCACTGACCGCCGTTCACCCAGCTGCCTGGACGCGGTGCTGCCCAGAAGATCATTGTCAAAAACACAACAAGAGCAATCGGAGATAGCAAACCTCTGCCACAGCGTAACAGTCTAACAGCAAACCCCCATCTTGCTTGGTACACCCAATATAGCGTTTGGTAAAATTTTCAAAAATTTGAAAAAAAATCCTAAGTTTTGATGAATTTTGTATGCGTCCGACGTCTTCCACACACACACACAAAATATCCTGGATCCAGATCTGGATCCGGATCATCACCAAATCAATTGGTTGTTGGCCCAAAACCAACCCGTCAAAAAAATTTCATCAAAATCCGTCCGTAGCTTTTTGAGATATCCTGTTGACAGACAAACCAACAAACAAACCAACACCCAACAAACTAACAGGGGCGAAAACATAACCTCCTTGGCGGAGGTGATTAGTCCTAACATTAGTCTTAACATTAACGTTTCTACATAGATCGTTTACAAAAACATGCTACCTACCTAACTTACTTACCCACCTTTAAAAAACAGGGTCAGGTACAAGAAAACTATATATACAATTTTTAAGGTGACCCTACAGTGCTAACTGAGGCCTGAGCACAGTTGTATGCAAGCCGTTGCTGACGTCATCGCCAAAAATATCCGTGAAAAATATGGGCAGCAGAGCGAGACGTGAACTCCCGTACGTACGACATCGCTCTTGTTGCTACGGTAACGTGGGTCGTCGCCAAGGCAATGCGACAACTTACCTGAGTGTTGTTGTCGTCGCTGACATCGTCGTCCATGTCGCTGTTGTTTTCGATGCCGTCTGCGTGCGCGCACGTCGGCATGGCGACGTGTGGCGGGCTTGGCTTCGGGTGGCAAGGAATGTGCGAGCTATCACTGCGCGCGTAGTTGTAGAACACTGCAACAACATGCAACACTGTGCAACTACAAGCAACATGATGCAGCAACACACAACAACATGCCGAGGAAAGACCGTTTGCGACACTTACAAACGGTCATCTTGTCAATCATTGGGTCGCCCTCAATAAAAATAATTGTAAATTGTGATCAAACTATTAAAACACAATATATTCGTATTTTTTACCATCTGTTGATACTATTACGGAATATACACCCCGACCCACGCATGCTTATGGTCTAGAGAGAGCCCGAGGTTCTGCCCTCAGTCCCCTACTGCTATATTTCCCCTTACTCATGGCATGGTGTGCACTTACTTGGTGACTGCGCTTTCTTTCCAGCCGATCCTTGGTTCCTCGAAAGCTCTATCGCAATTCTCTGGAAAAGACGAAGTCAGAATGATTTAATTTAGACAGCGGCGTTGTTACGTGCAAACACTATCGCTTATAGCGTGCTCAGGCCAAAACAAAATATGTGTGGTTACCGTTACATGCCGAAAAAAAATAGGGTAGGTAGGTAGGTAGGGAAAATATTTTATTTTCTTGAAATATTTTATTTACGAACCATGTCCGAAGGATGTGCGTTGTGCCTTTTGAAGCAGGAACTGTCCAATTCATTTTTATTTTTTATTTTTTATTTTATTTAAAAAAAAAAAATTTGACTTTAAAGGCTTTGACAATAAAATGTTTAGGGTCGCTGGGAATAAATAGGGTCGGTCGGGAAACCGTAACCACACCTATATTTTGTTTTGACCTCACTCATAACGAACTCTGCTGCCTTTGACTGATAACGGATTAATTAAACATGGACTGATTTCGATGTACGCCGAGTCGATTCACGGTCACGACCACGCGGGAAATCCGAAGAAGACGACAAAACATACCTCTTTCAGATCGTTGTTCTGTGAAACGAGCTGCGAATTCGTCGTTTCTAGTTGAGTGACATACCACTGCTGGTCCCTGCACTTCTGATAGAAAGTGGGTGGCCTCACTTGAAACCTTAGCACGAGTGTATCGGTCTCTAAAGACAGAGACAGGTCAGGCACTGTTAGTTGAGCGCAGAATGGCAGCATAGTAAACGACATGAGGTAGGAGAATTCCCCACCATGTGCCAAGATAGCAGAATGTATATCAAAGACACAAAGACAAACACAGGTATATAATATCACAAGATATCAGTGTACAAAATATCAAAGCGGCAGTGACAGACCTGGAAACAATATATCAAATCATAAAAGACGAAAGCTGTAGAGCTACAGGGAAAAGATATCACAACAAATCACAACAATCATCACTTGACCCGCCAATGCCCACGGTCTCGTTGTCAGAAACAAAATTAGTCTGTACATTAATATTGTAATCTTTATTATTAAATTAAGATCTTAATATTGACTTTTTCTCGTAAGCAACAGAATTGTATTTCATAAAGTTATGAGGAAAGAAATTTGTCTCAAAAAACTTCCTGATGATGTTTCCTGCAACAGTGAAAAAGTGAACGACATCAAGAACAACGTTAAGACTCAATTTCTTTCCGACAACGGGCCCCAGAACTCCATCTGACCAACTTATAGCCCATATAGAACCATCACAAGTCGTGACTGTTAAAGTGATTACGTCACCGTAAATAGTAAAAAATAAAAAAAATATTTCCACTTTTTCACAAAATATAAGTAATTCTGTTCACTTTTTATGGTTCAATTGCTGCATTATACTTCTTATTTTACTATTATTGTTCGATGTGAACATACACTCGTGATGCATACATAGCCTATAGCAAGCAATTAATGTCAGTAACACTGATATCAAATCGTCCAGGTTTTTTGGATTTTTAACTAGTTGAGAAACAATCTTATCAGGTAAGAATTTGACGATACGTTTAGTGTACAAAAATGGCAACAAAAATTTTACAAATTTTACCATAGAAAATTCGTGACGTAGTCAATTTAACCAAGTGCGCAGCCACCTAACCATGGTCATCGACGACGACGGGAACACGTGGCCCCTGCGCATACCTGTGGGTCGTACCTGTGAGCACGCGCATACCCGTGGGTCGTACGTGTGAGCACACGCGTACCTGTGGGTCGTACCTGCGAGCACACGCGTACCTGCGAGCACACGCGTACCTGCGAGCACACGCGTACCTGCGAGCACGCGCATACCTGTGGGTCGTACGTGTGAGCACACGCGTACCTGTGTGTCGTACCTGCGAGCACGTGCATACCTGTGGGTGATACCTGTGAGTCGTACGTGCGAGCACGCGCATACCTGTGGGTCGTACCTGCAAGCACGCGCGTACCTGTGGGTCGTACCTGCGAGCACGTGCGTACCTGTGGGTCGTACGTGCGAGCACGCGCATACCTGTGGGTCGTACCTGCAAGCACGCGCGTACCTGTGGGTCGTACCTGAAGTCTGCGCCTGTTTGCATGCTCTACCCTCACGGGACACAACGTACATGTATATCTACTTACAATGTGCATGTCAAGTAATAATAATAATGATCAATTTTTCAGCAGCCGCCCGGCTGCCTGGCGATAGAGGTTAAGGTGCTATAATAACATGTTCCCAGCCATGCGTACAGTACCAGTCTAGACCACTTAAAATTCAGCCCAGTGACACAGCAGCTGATGTGAGAATTAACACGGACATATATATATGCGGATTTAAATCGTGGGATCTGTGTATAGACTAGGTGTCACCTGCCTATTCCAGTGTCTCCTGGTGGGTAAAATCACTCTATATATGCGAAATTCTCATGTAGTGTTGTCAATCGGTTGTCATTTCGTAATCGATCATCGGTTGGACCCAAGTAACCGATGATCGGTTACAATCGGTTACTCGGGGTGTTGAATGCCTGCGTGTGCGTAACGTTGTGTGCATGTACGTGTGTGCATGTATGTGCTTGTTTAACCTTGTTTACTGTTTGTTTTGCACTGTTTACTACTGTGTGTATAATACATGTATGTTAATAAAGGATAACTTGTATAGTAGCGATGATATCTCTGATTCTCATCACTTTTCCCAAATTTTTTTCCCCCGATGAAATCGATGATGGATTTTGATAACCAAGCGCTTGGTTCGAGCCACTGTTCAACCGATGATCGAGTATAATCGATGATCGTGACATCACTAAGCGCTTGGTTCGAGCCACTGTTCAACCGCTGATCGAGTATAATCGATGATTGTGACATCACTATTCTCATGTTATAATATATAGCACTTTAGCAGACGATGACAATTACTTCACCACCTGCACCATTTATTATTCAGTCAATGCTGTACAACACTTGCAATTAATCAGTGTACATGCGTAATCATATAGTAATCACCACATTAATTAGCTATGGTCCTTATGCTAGTGATTCATCATGCAATAATGTGTACATTAACAACCAATTAATACTAAATAGCTGACCAATAACCAGGTGGATTTCAGGACTGCCTCTATACCTTACCTGATCACCATAAAGCTGATAATAAACCATGCTAATGATTGCTCATGTCACCAATTACCCAAAAGCAAAAGTAGGCCTTATAGACTAAGGGCATGGGGCCTAAGATAAAATATTGCTTGTTTTCCCTTTACCGACCGACTCGCCAAAACGTCGCTACTCGACACATTTTATTGGCCGATTAAAACAAAACAAAAATTATTTCGTTTCGCAAAAAAAAATCAAATTCGTTCCGCAAAAACATATACACAAAACAGAATATACAATATACATACACACATCTTGTCAAAACAAAATAAAAAAGATTTTTCACCTACCTACCTACTCGGTACCCTGAGAGGCGAGTAGGTAAAGGGGAAACAAACAATTTTTTAAGGGTGGCCTGGTCTTTATGAATTGAAGTTGCAAGGTACAAACAATCTGCAACAACTGGCAACCTTACAACGTGCGTACCTGTGGGTCGTACGTGCGAGCACGCGCATATCTGTGAGCCGTACGTGCGAGCACACGTGTACCTGTGGGTCGTACCTGTGAGCACACTCGTACCTGTGGGTCATACCTGTGAGCACGTGCATACCTGTGGGGTCATACGTGCGAGCACGCGCGTACCTGTGGGTCATACCTATGAGCACACGCGTACCTGTGGGTCTACCTCCTGTGGGCTTGCACGCACCTGTGTTGAGATATCCCTCAGTGGCAAGAAGGTCGAGACGAAAGAAGCGATTGTATCCCCAGCACTCGCCGACCTCAAAGTCAGACGAGAACTCTCGAACGATGTTCTTACTGACATCTCGCGACGCCTGGTGCACCATCTCCACGCGATACTCGTACCTGCACACCAAAAGGCGCCGCGTTATAGCTAGGTAGCTCGCTAGGTTGGTTATAGCTTGTTCAGGTTGTTTTGGTAGGGTCAGCTCGAACTCTGTTCGGTTGGTTGGCTATAGTTGGTCGACGAGATGGTTAGTTCGCTTAGTTTGTTTGGTTTGCTTAGCTGTGACTTTGTTCGGTTGGTTGGCTAGTTACCTCCGCCAAAGAGGTTATGTTTTCGCCCCTGTTAGTTAGTCTGTTGCTTTGTTGGTTTGTTTGTTGGTTGGTTTGTTGCTTTGTTTGTCTGTCAACAGGATATCTCAAAAAGTTAAGGACGGATTTTGATGAAATTTTTTGGACGGGGTGGTCTTGGGCCAAGAACCAATTGATTATATTGTGGTGGTGATCCGGATCCAGATTTGGATCCAGGATTTTTTTCTTCTTTTTTTGTGGGGAAGACTTCGGACGCATTCAAAAAAAAATTTTCTTTAAATTTCTTCAAACTCTATATTGGGTGTACCACCAAGATGGGGGAATGTTACGCTGTGGCGGAGGTTTGCTATCTCCGATTGCTCTTGTTGGTTGATGAGTTGGTTAGTTTGTGCACTTTGCTTGGTTTGCTTAGCTCCGACTTCATTTGGACAGTTTTTGCGCGGTGCCATAAACAACGTGTGCATTCCCATTTGGATTATCCGAGCTGTGAGTGAGAGAACAACCACCGCCAGTGCCAGAGGTACATGCGAAACGGCACCGTTGTGAGGCAGCCTGCTAATCTTTCTACGTTACTCCCCTGCTAAGTAATTATCGTATTTACTCATGTATAAGTCGCACCCCATATTTTGCCTTGAAAAGTTGGTACAAATATTGGTACATTAAGAAGGTTTCTTAGCCTCGCGTATAAGTCGCATCCCTGATTTTACTGATTGAAGTTGTGTACAAAAAAGTGCGACTTATACACGAGTAAATACGGTAGATTAAACCGCTAAGTCATTCTCGCTTCCATCATGGTCACAGCCAACTAATGCACGACAAATGCCACGGCACACGGTGTTATGCGACTCACTTGGAGGTTTCTGGAAGGCCACCGGAGAGTTCCAGGAACACTGACAGGTAGTTTCCTCTCACGACTCCGTTCCCGTCCTGCAATGTGGGAAACAAGAATGAAGAACATGAACAAGAAATCAGGAACAACAACGACTGTGCCTTCCCCTCACTAAGCCTGCATCACTGTACGTTTCTTTCTCCATAGACTTCACCTCGGTAACATATCTCTCACTCCGAATCTCCATCACTCTACCCCTCTGCATCTTCACATTTCGCTCTCTCACCTCTTCACATCCACTCTAACTCACTACTATTTCATTATCTGCTGTACTCATTACATCTACTTCAATCGATCTCGTTTTCTGCTCTTTCGTACATCTCGAAACCTCTGCCTTTCTCCCTCGACATTCCCACACTACAGCCTCGATTCTTGATGTTTGATAGCACGCTTAGGCCATAATAAAAATATTGTTTGTTTGCCCTCACCCGACCGACCTACCAAAAAGAGGCCGACTCAAAAATTACCCACTTACCGGGTAGACCTTGAGCCTCCACACGAGACCGTTGACGTGTAGCGGCGGGCTGTAGACGGGGTCGGCCTTGTGACGCAGCACCGTGAAGCTGTTCATCACAAACGTGCTGCTGTCGTAGTGCGGCACAATCTCGCTGCGAGATATGAGACACGAGACATGAGTCGCAGCGATGTTGAGGCAGGATCGCAGGTCGGCAGAAGACACAAGACATGAGACATCAGTCGCAGCAATAAGTGGAATTGTGGGTCGGCAATAAGACACGGGACATCAGTTACATCAATACTGAGGCAGGTTCGCGGGTTGGCAGCGAGACGAGACGAGACCCTACCGTCCAAGTCAGCCCACCTACTTCTCAAAGTCGGCGAACCCACTAACCGCCGCGAGTCCGCCGCCCCGCACGCGGCGCCACCTACCTGTTGAAGTCGGCCGGCACGGGCGCGGTGACAAAGGAGGCCATCGGCTTGCGGTGCACGTCCTTGAACATCTGCATGAGGGCGGCGCTGCGGCTGATCAGCTCGCTGCGCGTCGTCGTGTGCAGCTCGTGCTCCACGTCCTGCAGCAGGCTCTCCAGGTACTCCGTCTCCTGCGTCAGCGACTGCTTCTGACCTGCAGCGATGACGATGACAGCGATGGTGACAGCGACAATGCATGGTGACGATGACAGCGACGACGCATAGTGATGATGACAGCGATGGTGACAGCGATGGTGACAGCAATAAGGATGACAGCAATGGTGACAGCAATGACGATGACAGCGATGTTGATAGCGACAACGCATTGTGACAGCGACGACGCATGGTGACGATGATGTTAGTTACCAGAATTCTATCACTACCTAACATCTAATCTAACCTAAGCTAACCTAACGTCTCCTGCGTCAGCAACTGCTTCTGACCTGCAGCGATGACGATGACAGTGATGGTGACAGCGACGACGCATGGTGACGATGATGTTAGTTACCAGAATTCTATCACTACCGCCTAACATCTAATCTAACCTAAGCTAACCTAACGTCTCCTGCGTCAGCAACTGCTTCTGACGTCTGCAGCGATGAGATGACAGTGATGTGACAGCACGACGGCATGGTGACGATGACAAGCGATGGTGACAGCGACGACGCATGGTGACGATGAACAGCGATGGTGACAGCAGACGACGCATGGTGACGATGAGTTAGTTACCAGAATTCTATCACTACCTAACATCTAATCTAACCTAAAGCTTAACCTAACGTCTCCTGCGTCAGCAACTGCTTCTGAACCTGCAGCGATGACGATGCAGTGATTGGTGACAGTGACGACGCATGGTGACGATGACAGTGATGGTGACAGCGACGACGCATGGTGACGATGACAGCGATGGTGACAGCGACGACGCATGGTGATGATGACAGCGATGGTGAACAGTGACGACGCATGATGACGATGACAGCAAATGGTGACAGCGACGAGCGCATGTGACGATGACAGGCGATGGTGACAGTGACGACGCATGGTGACGATGACAGCGATGGTGACAGTGAACGACGGCATGGTGACGATGATGTTAGTTACCAGAATTCTATCAGCTACCAACATCTAATATAAATAATCTTAACCTAAGCTAACGCTAACTTCTCCTGATCAGTCAGCGACTGCTTCTGACGCGTGCAGCGATGACGATGACAGTGATGAGCCATGGGGAACAGGCTACTAATGCTTACTATCTATATATTCTAGACTACCGCGGGCTAAGGCCAAAACAAAATATATGTGTTGGTTACCGTTACATGCCGAACAAAAAATAGGGTAGGTAGTAGGGAAAACATTTTAATTTTCTTGCAAATTACTTTTATTTATGAACCATGTCCGCAAGGATGTTGCGTTGTGCCCTTTTGAAGCAGGAACTTCCAATTCATATTATTTTGTATTTTTTTTATTTTTTTATTTTTTTGAACCTTAAAGAGAAAATTGACAATAAAATGTTAGGTGCGCTGGAATAAATACGGCGTCGGTCGGAAACCGTAAGCCACATCTATAATTTTTGTTTTGGGCCTAATCTAACGTATAATGCTTACCCTGAGTGTAGAGGCTTTGCTCTTCGCTGTGAGTGCCGAGCCGCGGCGAATCATCAGCTTCAACACGACTGTTGGGCGTATGCTCCGCAACAGCGTTGTCCTTCGCCGGGCGCTACGCTCTCTCACGTTCTTCTCCTTGTGAAACGCACACACAGACACACAGACAAAGCGTTAACTGCACTCACTCTATATACACGCCTCTCCACGTTCTTCTCCTGTGAAACACACAGGCACACACACACACACACGCACACACAGTAGCAAGCGTTACCTGCACTCACTCTATATAATACGCTCTCGCACGTTTCTTCTCCTGTGAAACACACACACACAACAGAGCACACACAAACACGTACGCCACACACAGACAAGCGTTCTCACGTCACCTATATATACGCTCTCCACGTTCTTCTCCTGTGAAACACACACAAACACACAGACACGAGCACAAAGCACGTACGGGCAGCTACAAGACAAGTGTTTACTGCACTACACTCCTATAGTACACGCTCTCCACGTTTCGTTCTCTAGTGAAAGCACAAACACCGCACACACAGACAAGGGGCGTTAGCTCACTCACTCTGATACTACAGCTCTCCAGCGTTCTTCTCCTGTGAAACACACACACAGACACACAGAACACACACAGCACACAGACACAGACAAACGTTACTGCAACTGGAAACACTCTATATAGCACGCTCTCTCACGTCTTTCCTGTGAAACACACACACGAAGCACACACACACACCACACACCCACACACCCACAGCACACACCACACACACACACACACACAGACAAGCGTTACTCAACTCACTCTATATACACGCTCTCCACGTTTCTTCCTCTGTGAAACACACACACGAACACAACAGACAAGCGTTTCACTCACTCACTCCTATATACACGCTCTCGCACGTTCTTCTCTGTGAAACACACACACGAACACAGCACACCAGCACACACACACACAGCACAACACACAGACAAGCGTTACACTCACTCTATATACACGCTCTCCCACGTTCTTCTTCCTGTGAAACACAGCACCGAAGCACACAGTACAAGCGTTACTCAGCATCAGACTCTATAATACACGCTCTCCTAGTTGCTTCTCCTGTGAATAACACACAGCACGAAACACACACCATCACACGGACAGCAGCACACACACAGACAGCAGACAATCGCGTTACTCAGCTCGCAGCGTCTATATACATCGCTCTCCAGTTCTTCTCCTGTGAAACACAGCACACAGCACGCACACACAGACAAGCGTTACTCAACTCACTCTATATACCACGGCTCTCCACGTTCTTCTCCTGTGAAAGCACACACACAGACACACAGACAAGGCGTTACTCACTCACTCTATCTACACGCTCTGCCACGTTTCTCTCTGTGGAAACACACACACACGGACACAGCAGACAAGCAATTAGCTCACTCACTCTATATACACGCTCTTCGCAACGTTCTTTCCTCCTGTGAAACACAGCACACACACACAGGCACACACTTCGCACACGCACGCACGCACGCACGCACGCACGCACTGCACGCACGCACGCCACGCAACGCACGCACGGCACGCACACACCACACACACACACACAGACACCAGACAAGTCGTTAACTCACTCCTTCTATATAACACGCTCCCCACGTTCTTCTCCTTGAAACCACACACACGGACAAACAGCAACACAGCAGACAGCACAGACAAGCGTTACTCACTCACGTCTATATAACACGGCTCTCCAACGTTCTTCTCGCCCTGTGAAACACAGCAGCACGGACACACACAGACAAGCGTTACTGCACTGGCACTCTATATACATGCTCTCCACGTTCTTCTCCTGTTGAACAGCACACACGGACACACAGACAAGGGCGCTTACTCACTCACTTCTATACACGCTGCTCCACGTTCTTCTCTGTGAAAACACACAACGGACACACAGACAAGCGTTAGCTCCAGCTCAACTCTAATATACCACGCTCTCCACGTTCTTCTTCCTGTGAAAGAACACACACACAGACACACACGAGCAGAACAACGTACGCACACACAGACAAGCATTACTCTCTCACTTATATACACGCTCTGCCAACGTTCTTTCTGCCTGTGAAAACATACACACAGACACAGAGCAAGCGTTTACTCATCATCTATATACAGCTCTCCACGTTCTTCTCCTGTGAAAACACACACAGCACAGACACACACAAAGCACGTACGGCAACACAACAGACAAGTGCATTACTCCTCAGTCACTGCTATATACACGCTCTCCAGTTATTCTGCAGCTGTGAAACATACACACGAGACAGCAGTCAGGGCGTTACTGCACTCACATCTATATACACGCTTCAGCGTTCTTCTCCTTGTGAAAACACACACACACAGCACACACAGGACAAGCGTTACTCACTCACTCTATATACGGGTGCATTCCGTGTCAAAATCAGCGGCCCAAAAAAATGGAAATTTACACCTCCGCTACTTCAATTGGCTTAAATTTGGTGTACCAGGGTAATTTGGGGCTGAAAAAGCTGGTGAGATTAGTGAAGAAATTTACCACCGCGCAGTCGTGCCGGCGCAAGTGCGTAGCAAGAACCGCCCGAGAATGCTCCACTGCGAGCCGCAGGCATGCTTACCAGTGCAGGGTTTCTATACATCAGGAGGCACGTGCCGCACCTCCATTGTCCAAATTTAACATCGCCGCTGTGAAAATGTTCGCTGTCATTTACTGATAAGTATATCCTGTATCATCTTCTCTCAACAACAACA